ATTAGTCCTGATCATCGTATAAGAGAAATAGTTTCCTTCCTCAACCTCGTACTAAATCTAAAATAAAACAACTTACTGGGCAAAGTAAATTTTCCTTGGGTGAGTTCTATTTGCTGTTTGGATCTTTTCTTTTCTAGTAATTTTCAAACTTTGAAGCTCTATCAATAGAGCGATGGAGCCTAGAAACTCAGATGCAAACAAAAAAAACAAGATTTATTTCTTCAAGATTGGCACAAAAGAATAAATAAGTGAGAAGAAAGCTGGGTGGGTCTACAACAAGGAAAAAATCAAGTATATAGAAAGCCTCAAGCATTAGATCTTGTCTTTTTATTTTTTGGTTTCATCTGGGTCTCCATTCTTATATGTTTGAGAAGTCTGAAAATTTGATGGAGTTTCCAAGCCCAAATGCATATCTTCGAACTTTTTTTTTCTAGTAATTTCATATATTTGAGACTCGTTATTTTTATAAAATTTCATAAAAAACCACCAATTAAAAATGATTAAATATTGAGATCATCTCAAAATAGATTTTGATGAATTTGAGATGAGTTTTAATTCAACTCCACCTGTTTTATTCTAGTTTTAGCAAAGGTTGGTAAGCGTAGTCTGAGGAGAGAGAAAAGTGGGAAGTTCGAGACAGTGGAAGGGGATCAAGAAAGAGAAATTTTACTGTACAACGGGGATACCACCATCCAATAAGAAACTGACAGATAATTAAATTAATACACCTCATCATTTTATAAATACAACTCGTTGAATTTTACTTAATGGAGAAAGTTTCCGTTAGAGACTCAAAGCTTCTCTCCTCCCCGTCTAGATTCTACTCTTTCATCTCCTCAACTCCTCAGTCTTCTTTCTTCAATATCCAACAGAAACAAGAAATCATTTTTAATTTTTTGCGATTCATCAATTGTGGCTTTTTGAATCGACTCTCAAATAAGTAAACTCAAATCCAAAGGAATCTTTTGCCGTTTGCCCCTCTTCTTCCTTGTTGTTTCTCTTTCTTCATTCTTCTTGATAATATGAAGCTAGAAAATAAAATTCCTCACTAACAAAAACGTTATTGATGGTCCAAAAAAGAAAAAGACAGAAACTTTATTAACGTTTCAGATCAGGTAAGGAAAAGGAAATCTAGGATTTTAACATAGTTGAAATGGAAGAAGGTGTCTGAAACCGAAAAAAAAAAAAAAAACCTAGAAAAAAGGTAGAAGACGCTGGGATTTCCACCTTGAATCCCTAAAAAATGAAAAAGATTTAGAAGATGCTGGAACTTTGAAGGAGTTAGCGTTGAACATTATCCAAAATAAAGTTAGCATAAAAATGATTTTCACTTCTTGATGACCCCAAACCATCAGTACCAATTTAATTACCCAAGTTTTATGCATTTTCTTCTTGCCTAGAATGAAGATTTAGAGAGAAATTGATGGAGTGGGCAGATGGATTTATAAACTAATTTGATGTAGGTTAAACCTCTATTTTGGTCCCTCAATTATTGTATGTACCTCTAATTTAGTCCCTTAACTCAAAAAATTCCTAATTTGATCCTTATTATTTACCATTTTGACTTCAATTTGGTCCTTCCATTAAATGTTTGCTGAGGTGGCCTATTAACTGGCGGAATGAAAGTGACATGTCCAAATATTTATAACATAAACTGACAACAAGGATAAATAAATGATGTGGCTAAAAACTCGACCACCAAATCAAACAAATATAATTATTCAACCCATTAAATTTACAATTTTGCCCTCATCTTCTTCCTCAGCATCCTCCCACTACTAGAAAAATGACGTATACGGACCGAACATATACGGACCGAATAGTGTTGGTCTGAATAAATAAATATCCGAACCAATATCGGTCCGAACATATTTAGGTGGTCCAAAGTATACTACTGAACATATTCGGACTGGTATCGGTCCATATATTTCTGGCGGGAATCCACAGTATCAAAGCGCCAATAATATTCACACCGAAAACGGTCCGAATATTATTTCTGAAAAAAATAAATATTAAATAACAAAAAATATGAATAAAATATTATTTAAAGAAATCTATACGGACCGGCTTCGGTCTGTATATATTCATTAGAAAATAAGAAATTTCATTTTTATATTCAGACCGATTTCGGTCCGTATATTTATTATTTTTTGTAAAAAATAAAGATTAAATGACAAAAATTAGGAATGAATTATTATTTTTAATGAAAATATATGGACCGATCTCGGTCCGTATATATTAATTTAATATTACGTAATTATTAAATAAAATAAATCTGTTTTTTTTAATTTTTTTTTAAATGATATATGCGGATCGATCCTGGTCCATATATAGTTATAAGGACCGAGATAGGTCCCAATATGCCCTGAACAGTAACTTTTTATTTTTTTTTCTATGTTACATTTGGTGAATTTTAAAATTTTTCATTGATAATATATTTAAAGTTTTACATATTTTATGTCATTATTTTAAGTAATTATTCCAAGCATATTTTATTTTTTTATAAATGCATTTATTTTAAAAGGTAAAATATATTTTTGCATTATTTGGTAATATTACGTAATTATTAAATAAAATAAATCTGTTTTTTATTTTTTTTAAATGATATATATGGACCGATCCCGGTCCGTAAATAAAATAAATCTATTTTCTTTATTTTTTATTTGTTTTTTCACATGATATATACGGACCGATCTCGGTCCGTATATAGTTATACGGACCGAGATCGGTCTGTATATTCAGTGAACAGCAGCTTTTTTTTTTTCTCGGTTACATTTGGTTAACTTTAAAATTTTTTATGTATATATGTTTATACTTACTAAATA